TTCCCATTTCAATGTTTCCAAGTATGTCTTGACCACTTTCGCAACATGAGGTCGAGCATTGTCATGCTGCAAAATCACTTTATCGTGTCTCTCGTTGTATTGCGGCCGTTTGTCTTTCAATGCTCGGTTCAAACGCATCAATTGCGTTCGATACCGATCGCCTGTGATTGTTTCGACAATCACAAATTTTAACAGCTCATAATACACTACGCCGAGCTGGTCCCACCAAATACAGAACATGACCTTGGAGCCGCGAATATTCGGTTTAGCCATCGACATGGAAGCATAGCCGGGAACTCCCCATGTTTTCTGCGCTTGGGATTATCATAATGAACCCATTTTTCGTCCCCAATCACAATGCGATGCAGAAATTCCTTCCGTCTTTGCCTTTCAAGCAGCTGCCTCACAAGCAAACAAACGCCGTTCAACATCTCTTGGCTTCAACTCGTACGGTACCCAATTTCCTTGCTTCTGAATCATTCCCATGACTTTGAGGCGTTTTGAAAATGGCTGGTTGAGTCACTCCCAATGATCGTGCCAATTCTTTTTGATTTTAACACGAGTCTTGATCAAGTAATGCCTCCAATTCTGCATCTTCGAAAACCTTTTCTCTTCCACCGCTATGCCGGTCTTCGACGTCAAAATCACCGTTCTTGAAGCGTTGAAATCACTTACGACACGTTTTTTCACTAATAGCGACCTCACCATAAGTATTTGAGAGCATTCGATGAGCCTCAGCCACAGATTTCTTCATATTGAAGCAGAAAATTAAAACCTCCTGCAAATGACGAGAATTTGGCTCGTAAACTGATATTTTCAATCGAGAATAACTTTATGACACAAATCGACTAATGTTTCTATGGGGTTATGTTGACAGATGCCCAAGTTTATTGTATGACGTCTATGATCTATTTATTTCGATCATCATTTATGGCTTACCGCTAAAGCCATTTATAGAAAAACGGCGGAAGTTGTACACCTAATAATTCTTTTTTTAAGTAATTCCATTTCTAAGTCTAGAAGTAATTATAAATTCTAATTCCATTTCTAATTCTAAACGTAATCATAAGATCTAAATTTTAATTCGTAATAACCCAACTTAATTTGGAGATAAATCTATTTTCGCGTAAGAATTAATCTTCACGCCACTAACCAATGTACTAACGTGAATCATTGTTAAATATATACCTAATTAACTTTGACTCAAGTGTGAATTTAGGAATATCCTCATCTTCTCGCTAGCTTTAATATTTTCAATATAATCAATCGTTGCTAAACATTAACAGGAATGAGGAAACAGCCCATTGGCGTGATCTGAATCGACAATTAGTTCATCTTCGAAGCTATAGAAGCCTTCCTCCCTAACCATTTCTTTCTGTTGGCATTCGAGAACACCAGAGAACATTAACCGGACATCGCAAGGTAAGCAAACATCTTTCTATATTTCGGTAATTGAAATCTGCCACCGATGAATCGCACTCAACATGTGTCCCCCACACCCGCGTTCGCGTGAATCCATCGCTCAAATTCTAGCGATTAGTCCGTACTCTATGTGGTTGCGTAGTGCTGCGTATCTTCATTATTCTTTCAGCATAGGGAAAAACGGCAACATCAAATGCTCTGCTACACTTCCACTACACTTCCGCGCCGGAAAATGAAAAGAGGGATTATCAAGGGGTCTTGCGCATTACATTCATTTGGGTTACCCTGAACGCTTTAAATCCTGTAGTGTATGCTCTATACTAACAGTCACTCGGCATGCCGTCGCAAATTATTTCGATTGCTCCAAAGTTTTAGAAGGATTCGTCGGTTATCTAGGGAGAAAGCAACGGGAAGCAACCGGGGAATGATTCGGAATCCACTATAATCAAGATATCCAGAGCACGCCTTTAACCAATCAATTTACTGGACAAGGCCGATCGAAAGCCCTTTCGCGAACCCGCGACGCTTGAACTGCCAGTTTTATTCCAACCTTGTAGTCTCGGGTTAATTTGAACCCGGTGGACCGGCCGAATCTCCCTAGGACATAATAAGAATGATTCTGTGATTGGCGATACTCAAATCCACTTACACACGATCCACTGCATGGGATATTACCCTAAGCCAATCACAGGCCTGTTTACACAAGCCAATTTACGCCCGTTTTTCTTAGAGTGCAACTATATGTAGCGCGGTACATAATACGCAGTACAGAAATTAACTAGATAACTATAGGAACCGTGCAAACCGTACCGCTTGCTTCTTTTCTCCTTTACTACATGTAATAAAAGAAGTGTCGCTAAGCGACACAAGCCAGTGACAAATTCACGTTACTAAGCACTTTTTAATAGAATTAATTGATTTAAATGCAATTATTAAGTAAATCCGTTGAAAAAATAAGAGTAATGATGAAATGTGCATACGAATAAATTAATATATTTAAAAAAATTCGTATTAAAGTTTATTTATCACTAGCCCGTGCCGCTTACAGCGTTATATGTATTAGGTGCGCAGCTAAGTTCCCGCTGTCAACAGATGGCTCCAGCAGTAAGTGCTGGTCGATTCTGACATAACCTAAACGTCATGAACCAAGCTTAGACATATGGTAAACAAACCGCTTTGAAACATTAGTGATTTTGTTTTTACGTCATATTCTTTTGGTTGTGTGAAAATGTCTGATTTTGTGCCAAATAATCGTCATATGCGGGAAGTATTGATTTTCTTCTTTCATTCGAAGAAAACGGCGGCTGAAGCGCATAGAGAGCTCCAAAAAGTTTACGGAGATGCTGCTCTAAGTGAAACAACGTGCCGAGATTGGTTCCGTCGCTTCAAACGGTGATTTCGATGTTGACGACCGTCCGCGTGAAGGAAAGCCAAAAACCTTCGAAGACGCTGAATTGGAGGCATTGCTCGATGAGGATCCGTGCCAAACGCAAGAAGAGCTTGCTTCAGTATTAGGAGTTATCCGCCAAGCCATTTCCAAGCCATTTTTTTACAATAAAGTTGCATTTTCATCAAAATAACAGCGAGAACTTAGTTGCGCACCTAATAATAAAGGAGAAAAAAAGTAAGTGGCACGATTTGCGCATTTCCTATAGTTTCCTAGTTAGTTTCTGTATCGCGTACCGCGTACCACGATACATGTAATCGCATTCTGGGCCGCCGTCCCATAAACGGAAATTTACAGCAGAACGGAACAGTGAGACCAATCACAATCGTAGAAAAGAAAGCAGAATAATGATTCTTGCACACAGAACGCGGTAATGTTGCGTGACAGAAATTAGTGCGATCGTCAATAAACGTCTTGCTTGCTCAGAAGTAATAAATATTGGGTCATCTAAAAAGTATCCGCGGTACTTTGTCACTAGATATATGACCATCAACACACATCTAGTGACAAAAAACCGCGGATACTTTTTAGATGACCCAATATATAGTTTCCACCGCATCACAAAAATTGAACTCAATCCAACTTTTTCCGCACGGCGGAAGTAACTATGTCATTTCTAGAAGTTTTGCATCATGAGGCCGATTTAAGAACATAGAATTATTGATTATGACAACTTCCGTCGCAATCATTGCCGCACTGTGTATAGGAGCTGTAAAGCTTGTTCTATAATAGAGTTGCAAGCTATAAGCCGTAAGAAATTAATTAATCACAGATGATTATTTTTGTCATATTCAACTATGATTTCATATGACTTATTTGCAATTCTATTGTAAAACAGACGTAAGTGTGCGTTACGTTAAGCCGATTCTACATTAGTTGCAAGCTGATCGCAAGTTTGTTCCGACAATCAATCTGAAGCTTGCATTTTGAAATCAATCGCTTCATATTGGCTATCACAACAAACTTGCGATCAGCTTGCAACTAATGTAAAATCGGTTTAACATAATGCTGAAACGCTAAAAAAACCAGCGTGAATTCGTGCTGGCGAAACGAAAACGGGCGTAAAGCCTGTGATTGGCTCAGTTCCTTTATGCCATACGTCGATACGCCGTATGCTGGCTCCATGAAACTTTACCTTTAGTCCATGATTGCACCCAAGGATTTCGATTCTTTCCCTCTGAAATTTTTATAAATTTAGAAGTGATCACCTTTATACATTATGCTCATGGTCCGTGTGTGATTAACGATACAAAAATAAATCTTACGTCCGTGTACAACTAAATTTGACGAAAAAACGAAATAATCTGAATTTTCGGAAGTTTTAAATAACTTTAATATTTTTATTTTATACCTTCATGGAAAATTTACTGCCACGACTGAAAATCTATAATTCTACGTTATGTGCACTATAGATTTTCAGCACTGGCAGTAAATTTTGAAACAACCATGCTATAGGTATCATGAATTGTCTGTTGTTTCGTCCTCTCTACTTTAGGCTTGTCATTCCTGGTACACGAGGAAATAGACGTCCCTCAGTTTCGATAGATATTGTGTATATAAATACATTATGTATTATGTATTATTTATTATTTATATATTATTTATATCAATCATGATAGTTTAAGTTTAATATATGTTCTAAGTTTATGTTTCATGTATGTTGTATACATCTCAAAATATAAAAAAAATATTGGATAGATAATAAAATAAACATTTTTTATGCTTATACATGTTTATATATATTTATATATAGTATGTATATTAATGTAATATAAATTAACATTGCATAAATCGTTAATGTTATTTCGTGAGATTGCATGTCTATTACTGGTCTATTGAGTTGAATCTCAATCTAGAACACGTTTGACAGCTATTATGAGACATTGCAACGACTGTACATTCCGTAGAATTGCAATGATTACATCTATTAGAAGACCGACGAAGAATTGAATATTCGTCGTGAGTATTCTAGCCTGACTCCTTGGCTTACAGATCTTCTTGAATGTCGTCTTTCGTCTTTGCAACATAGCCAATAGATGAGTCTGTCGGAGAATGAGTTTAGTCCGTAACGTATCGCTACGAAAACTTTTCATGGTAATGCGTTTATCTGAAAAATGTAATAAAAATCCACAAAGCAATTGTTTTTTATTTAGTGCAATTCATGAGATAGATGCAATTCATTTATAGAGAAAAAAATTATCTGAAATGTCATGTTAATTTCCTGGAAGCTTACTGAATAATATATATTTACGCTTTCTCCCACTTCACGCCAAGATTCATATATCCTATTGTCATCATTTTTTTCCATGAAGATATGAAATAAAAATATTAAAGTTATTTAAAACTTCCGAAAATTCGAATTATTTCGTCTTTTCCTCAAATTTAGTTGTACACGTACGTAAGGTTTAGTCATAGTATATACAATAGCGCGTTTCACGCCTAATGTGCATGATACATCATTTAAGGTGAAATCATACGGTGTGATAAAAAACTGCGGAATGCGTCATTAAAACAACCAATTAGCGCTATTCGAAATAACGCAGAAGAAACGTTGATTGGTTGCTTCTATGACGCACTCTCTATTCCGCAGTCGTTTTCCGTACTGTGTGATTTCACCCTTACCCTTGACATTCGGTGAATAAAAAGGATAAATAATGCAGCATCATGTGTGAAACGGAACGCAGCTTCTCTGTCAGTACCTTTGATGTTAATGTTTCCTAAAATGCAGTGTGTACACGCGAAATTTTCTAGTAGCGCCATCTGAATTTCTTTCTCAGTTGTTCTTTATTTTTCCTCTCTCTCTCTCTCTCTCTCTCTCTCTCTTCCCCTAGGTCGTTTGTACATCAAAGTTAATCTAAATGTAATAAAACTAAAAGAAATAATACATTGCAAAATAAAAAAAATACAAAAATAAGAAAATATGAAATTATATAAATATTGATACAAATATTATACTGTAAAAATGTTTTAATTAATGACTGCAGCAATGCTTGTTTTCTTGATCGCTTGCGTTTTAATAAATTATTAGAATTACACCACATAAAACGCAGATTTCTAGCTAAAACGAAAGCAATCCAGTAATTATACATATCACTCAGTATTTAAGCGAAACTGACGAAATTGATGTGTTGCAGGTGCGCGCGCGCGCGCGCGCGTGTGTGTGTGTGTGTGTGTGTGTGTGTGTGTATGTGTGTGTGATTTCAGTTAGTGGTTCGCTTCTTATTGCATTGTCTTATTTTCGGTTTTGTTGCTGGGCTTTGTAACAACAATTTTGCTGATGCCTATTGTACCAACATGCGTTGTACGACGTTCTGCAATCAATCAGAAAGCAAAATTTTAATTTGTATTGTGATGATACGAAGCAAAATCCTATTTTTTTTCGCGCATGCGCGAAATAAGTAAGTTACCCAGTAACACCATATAAACTTCTAT